AACAGGAAAATTTCGTGAGAAACAAAGACTGGAGCGTTGAATTCTTATGCAACATTGCTCTCTTATATAGTACTGAATACAGGCCAATTTCATCAGGGATGAAAAAGAAACTTGAGACAATAGAAATGTAGTTGAACAGAAGGGTACTAAGAATGCAACGGAGAAAATATATGAGTAACAGCATGGTTTTAAAGAATATAATGAGGAAAGAAGACTCGGAGAATTTGATATTCACAAGGCATAATGGAGGTAAGAGGGAGAGAGAAAAAAACAGTGAATAACCTGCTTAACAATGTTGTGTAAATGGTTGAAAGTTCGGACACTAGGAGGGAAGAAAAAAAGAAAAAAACTTACTAAGAGCTACAAAAGACAGGATGTTGTGGAGACCCATAATCGCCCACGTTATAAATTAACATTGCATACAGAATAATAATCATTATACTTAAACTTTTCACATAATGTTATATTTGGAAATTTTCTGGAATTATTTTAAAATATTTTTTATCCGAATTTTGTTGAATCGTCAAAGGCAAAAATGTCGGGATATGAAAGGCCAAACACATTTACATAACAATGTAAATGAAGAAGAAACTCCTGGTTAATATATTGGAAAGTTTGATATTAATGTAGGATTTTGACAAGAGCTTCCATGAAAAATCTTTTATGTTTGCTCGTTTCTTATTCTTTTAAAAAGAAAATATTACACGAGAAAAAGATCGCAGCAAATAATATGCTAATGGTTCATTTACTGCTATTTGAATTTAACGATCGCGTTCACCAGTCGATTATTGAATGTAACGTCGCCTTGTGGCCGTTGTCCAAGACTGAAGACGGCTTACCTCAGGCTAAATTGGCAATACATTACTGAGTTGCTCATTTAGACTTATTCATCAATATTGCAAAAGGGTTTCTTTCTGGACTTCGTTTTGTGAACCACTTACAAGAGCAAAAGGCCAAAGGCGATTGGCGTTTATATAAAGGTTAGTTACAAACATAAGAGAAATATAGGCACGGATCTGCGAGATGACAACTATCTTATAAATATATGGAAGAAGAATTATGCGATTCTATCTATCTATCTAGCTTTGTTCATATCTATCTATCTATCTATCTATCTATCTATCTATCTATCTATCTATCTATCTATCTCAGTCTCTTCAAATCTATCTATCTATCTATCTATCTATCTATGTTCAGATCTATGTATCTCTGTATCTTCGTCTTTTCATATCTATCTATCTATCTATCTATCTATCTATCTATCTATCTATCTATCTATCTATCATTTTTTACAAAATTTAGCGTTTGCCAACAGGTGCGCTGTCGTATATGAATCTACTCCCTAAACGAGACATAACATTATTTTTCATATTAATGTCTTTTAGTGTTTCGACAAGCTCAACATTTATATAGCTATATATCTATTATATATTTATATATTTATTACATATTTCTATATTAATATGGGAATGGCTAATTATTCCTATAAGGAGCACATGCAGTTCCAGATCTGATGGGTTTCATAGGGATGCATGATTGGTATGATTTTGGTTGACTGAAGATTTTGGATTGGTATTCTATCAGTTTTGATTATAACTTTTATTTGTTAGTAACTAACTTCATAATCGATTTGCTAAAGTTTTTTTTTCTGTTTCGGAAATGATTTTATGTCCATCGATATTTTTATAACTTTGTGTACCGTTGAGTAAAATACTTCCTTTTCTATCACAAATAAACTTATTCATTATAACATTCCCATCGACTTTGGGATATATTTTCATGAAAAAATAAATCTCTACCAATTATTCCAGGAAATAAAACTCAAAATAAAACTTTCCAAAACAGAAACAATTATTTGGAATTGGAATAAAAGCAGCAATAGCACACACCCTGACTCCATCATAAAAATTCAGGATATGCAACTGGCAAAAAGCAAACACTTCAAATAACTCACTGTATGGATCGACTATAACAAATTTAGTATAAGAGATAACAAAATTGGACATAGATTAGGCTGCACTGGATATAGATTCTCCCAACAACGCAAATTGCTATAAATTCGAAACATTAACCTAAAAACTTATGGTCTTAAATAGCTTCGTCAAATCGAGGCTTTCAGATGGACGCCATATGCATGGCGCCAAACCCGTTCAGAAATATCTAAACTATCCTCAGTATACAACCGTTTTTCTATAGTTAAAAATATCATTGAGCTAATGAGACCTGTGAGCCTTGGCAAAGACCATACCACTTCGAACACTGTGGGCTGACGCTACAGAATCAAAAACAAAGAACTGTACTACATAACAGATATTAAATCAGAGGAGGAATTTCGACAACAGCAAAAAATAAGATGGATATCACATGTAACTCGAAGGGGAAAACAATGACATAATCAAGATGTTGACATTCCACACTTCTTCAAATAAAAGCTTAGGAAGGAACTAAAAAAAGAGCTATGAACAGTTATTGGAATTGAGAAAACTATGTTCCTGAAAAAAAATGTTTTAAGATAAAGATTTTGTGAATTTCAAAAGAAAGAACTGGCTGGTCAGGTCAATAAACGTTGAATGTTTTCTTATAAGGAAACAGTTAATATGACCATTACCATTTCTTGTGCTTTTATATCTCGTTGTCGTAACGTTACTTTGTCGTCTGGTCCTAAATTGGCGGCAATTATTCCTTGTATGAAACCATTTTAAAAATCTGTAGCAATTTGTCTGTGTTTCATAATTATTGTGTCGACTAAATGTTATTGTTTTTTTTTTTAGTAAATGTTAGTCTAATGTTGTGTTGAATAATTTTGTGTTAGATAATTTTTTTATCAGTTCTTGTCGTCTTTCCATTACAGATTGAATTATATTAGAGACTTTAGAATTGGTTACTCTTAACAGGTTTTATTACGCGTCGTAAATAGTCAGCTTCTCATTTCGACAAAACGTTCATGTGGCAAACCTCCAATTTAGATTCTTTGGTTTTGTTATTTTTTAGCTTTTTCAAATGTTTTTTTTTCCATTTGTCAGAGACCATTTTCTTTAGAGAATTCGAATGTATATATTGGTAATATATCCGAAGATGTTCTGAGTAATCTTGGATGAATTTATTTTCGATATATTTTTTTAACAAATTAGTATTAGCTTATACCAAAAAAAAAAAAAAATTAAAAAAAAAACAGGTGTCTTCTTTCGCTTTCTTGTCACGGCATATATAAACTTATAATTTTGATATCTATCTATCTATCTATCTATCTATCTATCTATCTATCTATCTATCTATCTATCTATCTCTGCCTTTTCACATCTATCTATCTATCTATCTATCTATCTATCTATCATCTATCTATCTCATTTCTTCATCTATCTATCTATCTATCTATCTCTCTATCTATCTATCTATCTATCTATCTCTCTGTTTCTTCAAATCTATCTATCTATCTATCTATCTATCTATCTATCTATCTATCTATCTATCTATCTATCTCGCTCTGTTCTCCATCCATCTATCTATCTATCTATCTCCATCTATCTCTGCCTTTTCATCTATCTATCTATCTATCTATCTATCTATCTATCTATCTATCTATCTGTCCGCAAATCTATCCATCTATCCATCTATCCATCCATATCTATCTATCTATCTATCTATCTATCTCGTCCGTTCGTCTATCTATCATCCATCTATCTATCTCATATCCATCTCATCTATCTATCTATCTATCCATCTATCTCGCTCGTTCTGCATCCATCTCCATCCATCTATCTATCTATCTATCTATCTCCCCTATTCTATCTATCCATCTATCTATCTATCTATCTCTATCCGCCCCTGTCCGTATCTATCTCTATCTATCTGTCCGTATCTATCTCGCTCTGTTCATATCTATCTATCTATCTATCTATCTATCTATCTATCTATCTATCTATCTGTCCGTATCTATCTATCTATCTATCTATCTATCTATCTCTGCTCTGTTCGTATCTATCTATATCTATCTATCTATCTATCTATCTATCTATCTATCTATCTATCTCGTTCGCATCTGTCCGTATCTATCTATCTATCTATCTATCTATCTATCTATCTATGTCCGTATCTATCATCTATCTATCTTCTAATCTATCTATCTATCTATCTATCTATGTCATTATGTCATTATAGAGTTGCGAGTGCTTTTCGATTGATTCGTATAACCCGATCAAACAATATCGGCCATTTAACTGGTAGCATTACTAGCGCTTCAAAACTCATTTTAATCATTTCATTTTCTTTTCAGTTTTAATTTCCGTAAATTTTCAATTCACCAAGCCTGGCATTATCGCCGCCATATTGTTTCTTTCTTATTTCGTTCGATTCTAACCAATTTTTATCGTTTGAACTTGCTTCAGCTACAAAAAAAAAAGAACATAATTGCTAAAAGGAAAGACAGTCATATCAGAAACAAATTGTCGGAGTATTTAATATAAGAGTATCTTGCTGTTTGCTCGTAAATTTCTTTTATCGATATTTTGCTAATAGCAGTTTTTGATTAAAATATCAACATATATATATATGTGAGTGTGTGTGTGTGCGTGCGTGTGTGTATGTATGTATGTATTCCAGATGGATCAATAAATCCATATCCTGAAATAGGTATTAGCTTGATTTTGATGTGAAAATTTCACTTTATAATGAAATTAAATTTGTAATACATCTTCCAAAGCTCCCGCTTATTCTGACTCCACCGCTTTTTAAATTTTAAAAATATTTCCAAATCCCCAGTTTATGAAAACGCCCTGTACATTAAATTTTAGAAAAAAAAAGGCCAACCTCCACGTTTATTTCTTCCTTAGATTTTGAAATACATTCCAACTCGTCCGTTTATTCCAACCACTTGCTCTTAGATTTTAGGAACATTTTTAACTCCAACTTGATTATTCTAAACTCTTTTTATTGAAGATGTGAAAGTAAATCCTTTTCCTTCAGAGGTTTAACACAAAGCTGTTTTCATCGATCATCACAGCATACGGTCACATCACGTTCGAAGACTAGTTCCCGTACAATTACGGAAGTTAAACAACGTCGAGCTGGCTTAGTACCCAGATGGGTGACCACTTTAGAATAACAGGTGTTGTAAGCTTGGATGTACCGGTGGTGTGATGGATAATGACTCGGGGTTTTTATTCGTTATATTCAGTTACATGCAGAGGGAAAAGTATGACTTCACCTATTCTCCCCCAGCTATGGGTTAATTAGTAAGATATATATAATTAAAACATTGTTTTCTAAAAAAGTAAATTCTTACAACCTAAAAATATTTTCTGTCTTTAAATAACCTGCAAAGTGTTGATAAGCAGTAGGAAACGAATCAATTGATAGCACTCAGAATAATTTTGCCTTCAAATTATAAATTTGTCTGTGCAGGTTGTTTAGTAATAATAACTCAGAATTGTTAAACGGAGGGTGGAATTCAAATTCCTGTTGGGGTCGTTATATTCCTTTACGCGCAAATACCATTGGGAAAAGTATAAAAGCGCTTCTTCTCCGCCCCCAGCTATCGGTTAATTAGTAAGACATGTATCGCTAAACCAATATTATCTAAAAAATTTTTTACAATTTTCTGGCTTTAAATAACCTGTAATGGGTTGATAAGTCGTAGAAAACGAATAAAAAAAATCATCGATCGTACTCAGAATTGATTTGACATAATCCCACAAAAGTAGAAGATGTAGTGGATTTCGAACACATAAAACCACGTAATGACCTGCAAGAAGTACTAGCAAAAAAAAATATGCCAGATAAATACCGATACATGTTTGTTTTGGTTTCATTGATTGCAAGAGTTTTTAATTTATTTTATAGACAAACAATAAAAAGTAAATCCGATAATATTGAACAATGTCGACACTGAGCGATATTTTTTATGGAAAAGGATTGGAAAGTGGCTAAAATTCAATAAAACTCCGTGGTCACTATTAAGTTCTGAAACAGCATTTCTGCCATTGTTTTTCAACATTCATCATAATGAGAAATGCCGAACTCATTGAACTGATTCGATTTCTGTGTGGTTTAGCAACAGACGATTCGGAAATGAATAATGTTTGGGATATTGATTCTGTATCGATTAGGATAGGAGGATTTTGAGATTATTCAGTTACAGGTGGAGACAAGGGCGGGGTGAAGTCATGTTGCAGAAGATAAAGAACGTCACGTTGCAGTACATGCATATTTCTTTATTTGCTCAAATATTTCTGCTATTCATATCTTTTCGACTGGTGGGCTTCCTAGCCTTCCTCAACGACGTTTCAACTGGTCATGTTCAGAATACTTCCGGGTCTCATTTTGTTTTGTTCTTGCTAGTAAAGCAAAACAAAAAAAAAAAATAATTGATCGCATTAAAAATCACTTCACTGCACAAAAAAAAAACAAAAAAAAAACACAGAAAAAACCCTACAAAACAAATAAAGAAAAAATGGTTAAGGTAGACTTATTCTTCTTGCAACGCTTGAGTGAGGCTGGAAATCGGACCGATCAAAACTTGCAACTCAGAAATTCTGAGAGGATATGAAACAATTCACCAATATTTAGCTGATGAATTTATATTGATATCGTTAAGCGTATATCCAGATGTAAATATCCAGATGTAAATGTCCAGATGTAAAGGGAAATACAGGGTGTTCATAAAATTCGTGTGCACTTAAAAAAAACTTTATAGCTTTATTTGTATTTGCGATAGAAATAATTTGTAAAAAGGATTAGAAAGAAGTAAATCTATGTTTTTTAAGGTTTTATTGAAATTTTATTTAAGTTTCCACATGTCCTCCATCATTAGCAATACAAAGGGCAATACGATTTTGCAGTTCACGGAAAACATTTGCCAACTCATTTACAGTAATGCCTGAAATCACATTAGTTATATTGTTCAATATATATATATATATATATATATATATATATATCATACGAGAGAGTCTGTATACATTTTACTTATTCTTTCTCGTATCCTATCGGAGTCCGATCTATATTTGATCTACATTTTGCCTCAAACTCACAATATTAGTCAGTATTACTGTGTCTCGTTTCGCCAAACAAACAGATAATAAATAATAGTCGTGCTTTTTTTGTTTCCACGTCTTGCTATTTCTAATTTTTATGAGTATTTTTGTATATATAAATATTAGGGGTTTTCTAATTATTTATCAGAGTTATAAGCCCCCCCTACTACACGCGTAATTACACAATTTCCTCGATCGAAACATGACAAGGCGGGGGTGATAGCCGCTGATCTAATCCTATAGTATCTTTCCTATTTTCATTTTTGTCGTAATGCAAACTACTGTAGTCGAAGATTTCTTTTTGTCCTATTTTTATGTCTGTTTTTTATTGCATTAAATTAAACGAAATCGATACCTGGCAAAATGCAGCTTATTATCATATAATTTATTACTAGACCTCGTTCATAATAATAACCTTAAAATTGCGTTTTATGTATTCGGATATTTTGTTTTATTCTTGATATTTTTATTTTTAATATTATATTATAATTATTGCCAATTTGATCTTTTATTTTATTCTTTATAAGATTTAACCTTTATATCATTATTCCATTTGCGATGATGAGAAAATTTACATTGACATCCGATCCGCCATATTTACTGATAAAATTCAATGGGGATTTTTAAAAATTATTTCCAGCGTTTCTTATGTTATTTTTTTTAACCTGACATTAATTCTTCGTCTTATTTATTTTCTTTTACCTGTCGTTCATTTGAATCATTTATTTTCGTATAATCTTTCTCTTCAACCTGCTCTTTTTTTCGTTAGCAAAGAAATACCGCTTTTGCGCAAAGAAAAATAAAACCAGTTGGCATATAAAGATATTAAATTGATGTTGGGTCAACAGCATAAGCATTCGCATTAGGAAGGAGAAAAGTGTTGCATTTCGCGTTGTTTCTGTCTTCAAACCACGCGTAACATCAATAGATGCATCAATGACGGACTGTTTTCTGTTTACTCGCCTTTATTTGACGAGGGACATTAGTCGTCGCATCGTTTCAAGAAGGAGAGGCGAAAAGAAGAGGGAAATAGAGCCGACACATATAAACCGGTTGGCCAAAGTCTCGTCATCACGTGCTGGTTTACCTGACTTCTTACTATTTACGTGCCATATCCTTTCAGGACGTAGGCGATCATGGCTCTCCACACCTCCCTCTATCCCTTGCAGCTCTCAACAAGTTCCTTCTCTCTGCTTCCTCCCACAGACCACGTTCTGTTATGCACTTGCTTAAGTCCGTCAGGTTATCTCACGCGTTGTTTTCCCTTGTTCCTCTTTCCCATTATTCGACCCGTGCGTATCAGATTCTCCAGGCCCTCCTTCCTCATTATGTGTCCCAGAAACCCCAGCTGTCTCTTCCTGATATTAAGTATAAGCCTCCTCCTTGTTTGCAACCTCTCTAAGATCTCATCGTTACTCACACGTTCGGTCCATGATATCATCCTTCTGTAGAACCGCATCTTTGTCGCCTCGTGTCTCTTCTTCGTCTTTGTGGAAATCGTCCAACATTCGCTGCCGTTAAGAAGGACAGATTTCACCTAACCGTTCAGTATTCTTTTCTTTAAAGAATCTGTGAGTGGTGACACTGTTTCAAGACTGGCAAAGAACTAATATATATTTTTTAATATACCGACTATTACGTTCTTTTCTGGGTTTCATCAATGTCAAAATATTTACATTCATTCAGGCCTGAAAGGATGACAATGGTAGGTATAAAAGAAAATTATAATAAACTATGAAAAAAGTAAGTATCAATTAAACATATATATATATATATATATATATATATATATATATATATATATATTATTTTTTTAATAGCTATGCTCGATTAGTATAAAATAACACGGATAGTACAATTCGCAAATAAAATATATATTTAAACAATCAGATATCTGGGTAAAATATTGGGAGAAGAAAACAAGACTAAAAACTAGCTGGTCGAAAACATCCCTCAACATCGCAATGCCCCCCCACCCCCCAAAATAACACCAAACACCATAATACCTCGACAAAAGAAAAAAAGCCTAATCAAGTAATATGAGAAAAAGATGTAAAGTTCCCAATACATTAATTAGAGCATAGTTTAAAATCTTAGCAAGCCAGAGACGAACCTTTATCTATCTATCTATCTATCTATTTATATATATATATATATATATATATATATATATATATATATATATATATATATATATATATATAAATATAGGTATAATAAAAAAAGCATGCGTATACACATATATACTTGCACGTACATATATAAATTTTCTCAAGTGATCAATGTTATATAATAGATTTTAAGTATATATTAGTGAATATATACATGATTATATATATATATATATATATATATATATATATATATATATATATATATATATATATATAATATGGAGGTGGATGTGTGAGTATGAAAGGTTGGCCTAGTCGTAACACGAGCTTCACGATCACGCGATCTTCTGAAGGCTTGAACGCAGACGAAAGAAGTATGGGGAGGACGAGCTTTATATAACCCGTGACCATAAATCACTCTATGCATCACGGGAAAAAATAAATATGAAGCTATTTAAAAAAAAAAAAAAAACCGCGGATAACCACACCCTCATAGGAAAAAAGAAAAAAAGGAATAAAAGAAAATAGGCAAAATAATAAAAAAAATATACTGTGGGTAGACTAAACGACTAATTGTCGTACAGTAGTGTCGAGGTCAGTGGGGGAGAAAAAACGAAATAAAAAAAATAAAACAACACAAATAACCAACATGCCAAAGTGCCATCCTTTCATAGGATTCAACGTTGTTAATCGTTTTTTGCTATTTTTCAGCAATCTAGGTTTCGAGCACTTCACTTTACTGAGTAGGTAGGTTTTGATTAAGATTATTTTTCTTTTCTTTTTTTCAGCATTGTCGTTTTTTGTTCAAGAATTCATCTGAATTATAGTTTAGGCGTTGCCAAGGTTTATATATATATATATCTGAATCGTCTTCAAGAAGCAAGAGCAAGATCTAAAAGGTCAACCAATCTAACAGTGATCTCATCCCACAATCCTCACTCTTGTTCCATATGTGGCCTCCTTTGTAAA